ATTCGTATTCGGTGGTCGATTTGTGAAAACGAAGCGCAGCTAATTTCGCATCCTCATTCCGCCTCGCCATATCGATCCTCCTCCTAAGACCGAACCGATAAATCACCGATCCGCTTTTACCCGCCAATTCTCGCTCCTGAATCTTATTCATTTATTATCGACGTTGAAACACGTTGCGAAATCAACTCTCGTTTCAGTAAATTTTTCCATTTTCGCGCGAAAAAGTTGACAGACTCGAGGATTTTTTCTATTCCGAGGATTCCGATCGTCGATCCCTTTATTCTCGAGAAAGATGAGGAGGATGGTCGCTATGAAATTAGAAATTTCCAAGGGAGGGAACGTGCTTTACGCGCTGCTTCCAAAATGTATTTTAAGCTAACCAGGTATACTATTCTATTCCACGATGATTCATGGTGGAGATTTTTGGTACGATTCTATTACGAAGCTTGTAAACTGGAGACTTTATTCGTTACTTTGTTAATTAAAATCTGGCCGTGACGTCGCCTGATTACGTCCCGTTTTATTAATAAACTGGAAACGAGGCTTTAGCAGAATTCCAAGTAAGTAAATCCATTGGAACTCGGAATTTCTTATACCTCCTTTTCAAGAGTGTTAAGAGATTGTCCCACGAGCCAACTTTGCCGATTCCATTCCCGTTCGATTCTCCACTCGTTCTTTTTGAAAAAGAATGCGAAATCCGTCCCAAAATAAGAATTGGATGATTTATCGATCTATGGTCGTTGTCGTTCGACAGTGAAACATCCAGCAATGAAATTCCATGGTGTTACAACACCACGTGTACCGACGATAACCCTTCGATCCACGATTCTTTCGTTGCGTTGCGATTCTTCTTCGTTTCTGGAGGATTGCGCGAGAATGAGATACGAGGAAGGACTGTGTGAAAAGGAAATTCTTTGGAAAATTGCATTTTTTCACGCGGAGAAAAGAAGTTCCCCGAAATCAGACGAACGATAGTTGGAATTTTCTTGGTTGAAAAAAAGAAAAGAAGAAGAAGAAAGGGAACGGGGGAAATAAAAGGGGCGGTTGGAATGTTGGACGCTTTTTCTCGTGGTTCAAGGCGCCAGTTTCGGTTTCGACGTTTCAATCTCTCTCGAATCGGTCGCCGCTGCTGCGTTTTGGGAATTGCGGGCACAAGAGAAAGCTGGACGAATTAATATCGTGAATCAATTTCTCAAAAGTATCGAGGAGGATCGAGAGAAACGTCACCGCGAAGGGAGAGAAAGTTAATTTTATTCGTGTTTGCAACTTTCGTTAAGAGAATAACAATTTTTAATTTAACCGGCCGGGAACAGGAGACCGATCGAAGATTCGAGTTAACAAGAGAATAACTAACGAAGCGTTAATCGTTGACAATACTCGTTAAAAAGATAGATTAAACTCTTGTTCGAGATTCCCCCGAATTTCAATCTTGTTTCCTTTTCTAGGAACTATTTTCATATTTCCCGCGTTATCCGGGAGAAGATCGCCGGGAAGCATCCCAATTGTCACGGCCCTGGCTGCTATTTTTGCTATCGTCCGCGCGATATTTATAACAACGGACTTATTTCACCGTCGACACGACTTCTGTCTGTCGTGGAGCGAGCAACCGACTCTCGGATTCACGTTTGAAACGTGCCGCCTCCGATAGTCGAAAAAGCGAAACTTTCCTTTGGAAAGCTCTATTTTCCCTTCGCGCTTTTTGCTTTCGTAATTGGAATATTCCAAAGAAGAAACACGGGGAAACACGGGAAAAATCACGTCGGCTTTGACCGCGTCGCGTCAAATCCGGGTTAATTAATCGTGATAGGCGTCCGATTTCAAAGGCGACGGATTAAATTCGTTATCGCCGAATCATCTCCGTTCCATTGTTCCCTTAATTAACCCACCGTGCCGCTTCATACTTACGTGCGACGACGAGGCTGCGTGTAATTAATAGCGCGCATCCTATTTTTCCCCCTAGCCGCATTTCGTATTTTTCCCTTTGATCACGATGCCGCATTACGCCACCAGCCTTTTTATCTCCTCTTCTTCTTCGTCTTCTTCTTTTTTTCCTTCCTTAAGCGGCGTGCAAAAAGCGTGCTCAGATTTATGTATCCCTCGTTATGGATCTCTCTTATGGATGGATTGATACAGGAAGATGATACAAGATGATACAACAAGTGCATCAGTAATTGCGGCTCGAGCGTAAATTAACAATTATCGATATCGTTTTATTCGATAATATACGATTTCGACTCGCGGAGGATCGATACGATTGTTTACCCGTGGATCCGTGAAATATCGTTTATCGCTTTTCACTCGAGATTCTCGCTCGAGAGATTCGCGCTCCAGTCCAGTTAAGACCACGTTTCAGAAATGGTGGAATATGGGTATATCCTGTATATACACGGAGCGTTCGAGGATCCATTAATCGAGACAAATTTTCCTAGAGGAGGATCCGGAGAGAGGATGGATCGAGTCAAAGTGTTATACCGGCTATTAACAATTTTACGATCTATCTGACGGCCGCTAAATGTTATTTCAAATAACCCGTGAAACGCGTCGTTGAGAAGACGTCGGATTAATTTGGTCGGGACACCGTGGAATAATTTCCAACTATCTCGCGTTGTTTCCCACTACCACCATTGTGACGCTCATTGTTCCTTCTTCCAACCACCACCACCGCAACGAACCCGATGAAAATTCATTAACGCGAATATTTGCGAATAGATGTCCGCGTAATCAGGATGTTCTTCGGCTTCGCTTCATTAATTTTCCAACGTTGAATAGCCCAGGCGACAACAACATCGTGTAACCACGGGATAAATCTTTTCATCCGTGATCTTCCAGGCCAGACTTCTTTTCATCGATCGTTTTGGCCTCTGATTTACGAGAGAATGTTAATTATTGCGACGAAAATGTCGTTGTAGTTTCTTTTCTTTTCTTTTTTTCGAAAGGAAAGGAAAATGTAATTTTTATTTCACGAGAATAATCGTGGAACGCGAGGGTTGCAGTTCGATCATTCGTTCTGGAACTTGACCGTCCAACCATTAATAACGCTCGCGTATCACGAATTGACGGATCGATGATCTATTAATCTATCGATATATATCGTATCAAATGGAATCGTATAACCGATCATTAATACGATACGTACCCAGTATCCCATAAATTTCCTCGAAATTTCGCCTCGAAAATCTTGGTCTTGGCCAATCGTTCGAGCGTCATTTCGGGTTATATCGCTTTTATGGTTAATGAAATCCGTCTCGAGCATTGACGTAACGTGTACGAGAAATAATCGTTCTCTCGTTTTTCAACAGGAGGAGAAGGAATTGACCCCGGAAGAAGCGGAGTTCATCCAAAAGATCAAGTCGAAGATGTGAGTGAAAATCTTCGTTTATTCATCTTTCCCCATTTTTCTTTTTTCTTTTTTCTTTTTAATATCTATATAAATAATATTTCGCGTTTCTGTTTCTCTATACCGTGTATATATTTAATTTGGGTAATTATAATAGAATTTCATAAACATGATAAATATAAATCGCAGTTCAGTTTAGTTTCGTATTCGAAATACGAATTTCGAAATTGACCGAGAGAGAAATTCCGAGGGGAGAAAAGTCGAGTTTGAGCCTGTTACTCGTGAATCCGATCTCGAAATAGTTTGATGATCGCTGAACCGTAATTTTAGTCTAAAGTGTAGGTTGCATGACGCAAATCGAGGCTGTCAGGGAAACAGGAAATCGTTGCGGATATTTGCCGATTTCGCGATAATTCCTTTCGATTACGACGCCTCGTAAGAACGTCCAATCAATCTAATACCAACTTTCTTTTTTATTCCCGCCATTTTCGTCCCCAACGAAACGAAACAAGCTTCGAAGCTTCGAAGCTTCGAGCACAAGGTATATATCAAGTTTTTCTCATCACTCAGTTGGAAAGGAAAAACGAACCAACTTATTTTTCATTAACTCCGCTTTCCTCTTTAAAAAGTATTACACGCATTCGTCAAAATAATAGCGTGGTGGTGTATCGTGGTGGAAATCTCTTTTTCTTATTTTTTATTATCCAAAAACGTTGCAGAAAAATTTGTCTCTCACCGGAGAAATCGATGTAATCACCATCGCTATTATTATTATTATTATTATTATTATTATTATTATTATTATTATTATTATTATTATTATT